TCGTTGTGGACAGAACGAATCGGTCGCACTCTGCGCTCGCGCGGCGTTCTCGCGGTTTCGAGGACGCATGTCGACGCGGTAATTATGCGAGGGTGAGAAATGCATACTCGCGCGAGAGCCTGTTCTCTCTCTCTCTTTCTCTCTCTCTTTCTCCCTCTCCCTCTCCCTTTCACGTGAGAGAACCGCTCCCTGTCGTGCACATTAGAATATTCGGCCGTCCATACCCTGCGCTATCTCTCTCTGGCTTTCTCGATTTATTAGCATCGTTTCCACGTTGTACAACCTGTACAACGTTACACTCGCGCCTGCACAGCAGACAACGCGACAGGATGGCGCGGGGTGCGGCGTCGACCTTTGATCTACGATAGAACGTCACTTTTCTCTTCGAGGATCCTCGGAGCCTGTCTAACAAGAGCACGCACACCTGCACTCTGCAGAAACGAAAAAAAAAAAAGAAAAAAGAGAAGCCCAACGCGCGCGTCTGGTCGAGCGCAGCCGACGAGCGTTTCTATTTTCCATGGTAAACGCATCGCGCGATGTCGCACACTCGATCTATCCGCGTGAGGAGATCCGCGGAGGCTTAAGCAACGGCGGATTTTCCGATTCACTCGCTAAAATGTCGTTTCGTGTGAAGGAAAGAAAGAAATTACGAGAGAGAGAGAGAGAGAGAGAGAGAGAGATTTAATCGCGTACATATCGCGTCGGCAAACTGATTTTCGCGAACAAACGAAGACTGCTCGCGATCGCGGCACGTGTCACAATTTCGTTCGTTAAACTTTCTTACAGACTCCTCGAAATCCCGATTATTTCCTGCTCGGCGACATTTTCGAGGTTCTGTGGAACGTATTTCTAATTAACGAGCCGAGAGGACCCGACTTCGCTGGATCTCGACGCATTTCAATAATTGCATCGTCTATAATCGCCGCGTGACCTCTAAGATCTAAGGGGCTACATACATTCCGGAGAATAAAAAAAATCGATTTTTACATTTTTTGAATCTTTGATGTTTCTGAAATATTTCCCTAAAGTTTCAGTTAAAAATATATTGAAATGACTGAGATACAGACGTTTTTGCGTAAGCGCGCAACGCGCGCGTTCGTACGCTTTCTTGCGGTAGCTAGCGCATTGCACGTGCGTGTCTCTACAAAAACGGCTCGACCAGAACAAAAATAAAGCGGCTGCTGATAAGTTTCTGGATGTTAAGAGTTTACTTTATGGACCAGGGATCGATGATTCCGTTTAAAATAAACAATATTTTGTCGTTCACTCACTTTAAACTTTACTTAAAACTTTAGACGCATTTTTCTCCAAACCATGTTTTGAAAACTGATACTAAGAATTTCTCAAAAACTACTGAACCGACCTTGAAGTTTAACACGTCTATTCAGCATGCTGAAACGTAAGTAGCATCGTAGAAGTTTTCTCGTTTATACCTTTGTTCGCTTGTCATTGTAATATTAATATTGTAAAAGAGTAGGCCTTAAAAGTCAAATATGTGCCATTTTGTTTAGAAGCAAAATTTTTGAAAACAACTACAGTGCTACTTGCGTTTTTTTAATATACTTTAAGAAAATATATGACTTTTTGCATTCCGATACGTTTTAGGAATTGTTTTCTCTGGTACCGACTTCCAAATCGGCACATGATATCTACAATTTCATCTCTTATACTGTAGCCATTTTGTAAGATTATAAAGCATAAAAAGATTTGAAAATAATCTACAATGTTGATATTTTTAATAAAAAAAACAGTAAGTTAAAAGGACTTTACATTTATAAGAAAAAAATTGTAAAAAATAGCCTTTTTTCCAGGGCCAGAGTGTAGGTAGCCCCTTAACAAGCGGACATTGTCGCGGAGACGTCGCGAAGGCGAACCGATCGAAAGTCGAGCTCGCGCGTAGCGTCGCGCGTAGCGTCGCGCGTAGCGTCGCGCAACGCGTCCCGGCGGAGATCGAGCCACGAATTCACAATAATTCCGCTGATATGCTTCGATGTTTCAATTAGCACGCCGACTCATCGTTACGAGAGGACGCAGGACGGAGGATACACACACACAGAGAGAGAGAGAGAGAGAGAGAGAGAGAGAGAGAGAGAGAGAGAGAGAGAGAGAGAGAGAGAGAGAGAGAGAGAGAGAGAGAGAGAGAGAGAGAGAAAGGGAGGGAGGGGGAGAGAGAGAGAGGGAGGAAGGGGAGAGAGAGAGGAAGGTAGGGGAGAGAGAGAGGGAGGGAGGGGGAGAGAGAGAGAGAGAGAGAGAGAGAGAGAGAGAGAGAGAGAGAGAAAGAGAGAGAAAGAGAGGAACAGGAGAGGCGAGCCACCTCACCATGCGTACGTGTGCGCGTGTGCGTGAGTGCGCTTGCGAGCGCCATGATACAGCTATCCTGATGCGTCCGTTTCTTTGAGGTGAAATGGAACAAAACGACTAGCCGCAGCCGAGCGCTTTGCCAAGCACATCAGCTTGTTTTAAAGCCGCGAATGCTCGCGACTGCGGGAGCGCACACTGCGCTTATCCTCCCGAAAGGCCCAAGATTATATATTTTTAGTGACCCCCCCCCCCCTTCCGCGTAAGATATCCCCACGCGTGTAATTTAAAGGCCGAAATGCTGTCCATCAGCCTCAAAAACCTGCTCGCTGCCGGAATTGCCTTGAATTATTTGCATTTTTCGTATCACGCGTATCGGGAGCTCCTGCGTCCGCGATTCAACGCTACTTGTGATAATTCACAATTTTAAAATTCACAAATTTAAATTCTAATTCAATATCGATAATTAAACTTTCGTATTCACGACAGCCGCAGGGTTATCGTCGCAGAACTGATCCGGCGTAAAACGTTTTCCCGGATCAGCTTACATTAGCCGTCGCACGCTGAATTTACATCACGCATGTCACGAAATTAATCTATTTGTATTCGGCAAGCATCAAGAGGGAGAGAAAGAGATAGATAGAGAGAGAGAGAGAGAGAGAGAGAGAGAGAGAGAGAGAGAGAGAGAGAGAGAGAGAGAGAGAGAGAGAGAGAGAGGGAGAGGGAAGGAAGCGAATCGCTGTACCGTCGTCTCTACATTTAATTAATTTAATAGGTTGTTTTCGATCCCCTATTTCGGTGCCCCGAAGAAAACGTTCAGCCGCCGGATATCGAGTGTATGTCCATTACATGCAGCAACGCGAGCCAAAATATTAATCCCTTCTTAGCTATATAAAACGCCCGCGAGGCTAATAACGTGTAAACATCCCTTTTGCGCTTCGAACCGCGCGGCATTAACGCGGTGTGGTGAAGAGACCAGAAAGTTTCATTCGAAACTCCCTCCACCTCCTCGCGACTAACAAGCTCAACGGACGCGTTGTGACCATGTTGGCAAAATATCCGCGTTCCACGTGTCTTAATATTTATTGGAGTGGGAAAACAATGCTACGGTCACGGCACTGACAAGCAGTCTTGAAGAAAGACCGGAAGCAAAAGTTATAACACCGCGTATGACGTGAAATTAACACTCGTACTATTTGGCTTTTTTCAGGAATGCATTACGTCCCTGCGCTAAAGTGCAGATATCCTACATAATGTGGTATGATTTTCACCATCAAGAGAGTGGACACCGGCAAATTGAATAGAATTACACAAAATTCCTCTATTATTCACGGCGTGCCAAATTTATCACATGTTTTTTCAACCGCGAATTTCTTCATGAATATAGCTCCTGAATTTCACTTCATAAAAAATTGATGAAAAACCATCAAACTTTCCGACCTTACCGATCTTTAATATCGGATCTCTGAAAACAAGTATTGCGGATTAAAAATCTATTAAGGTAAAATCGCAAATTTCGAAATCGAATGAGAAATAAGAACCCCTCATTTATTCACTGTTTTTCCGTGTTCGATTGTCTCAAATTATTCCTGCGCCAGCGTACTTTTCAAAGAGAGGGCGGAGAGTACGATCGATTGCAGATTGACAGAAAAGACATGCGCACCAACGGATATGCGATGGATCTGAGATAAAAGGGCGCGCGGATACACTCGCTAAGCGCAATGATAAATACACCTGCATATCAATATTTCAGCCCTGAAGAGAGGAAACTCAACGTCAACGTTGGCGCGATGCGCATTTGTAACGTCGCTAAAAGGATACTTTCCATACCGAAGAACGTAAAGGACCGCACGTATGTACACATCGTGCAGCGTTGATAATCGATCATTTTTGCGCTCGATATACTCCGTCGAATTTGGGACGAGATGGGGTTTCCCGTGGAAAATGCCACGGGGGCTAATATGCGTTTGAGCACGCGATCCTGTATGTAATGGATCCGTGTATGTGTATGTGTACATATATATATATATACATATATATATGTGTATATATATGTGTATATACACACACACATACACATACAATACGAGCCGGCGATTATTTTCCACCGTCCATGCCATTATCGGTCGTGCGAGCTGTGTTGCCCGGTGACAAATTTACCAGCGATTCGAAAGCTTTTAGCGGTAAAAGTTTGGCGCCGATCGCGCTTATATCGTTATACCTGCATTATGCAAAGGGTGATTTTTAGCCGCCGTGAATCCCGTGTCGACATATGACGCGCGCGAATCGCGCCGGAATGAACACACCGTAGTCGCGGCAGGTTGACGCCTGCCGGCGAAAAATGCTTTCTCGTAAGAAGGTCAAAGCCGCTGCTGCTTTGGTGTGTGAGGACGTTTCGAGGGGATAGCGTATCTTACTTATCCGACGGATAATTCCACCGCGAAAAGTAACGAGAGAATATTAGCGCATTGTAACCCCGACGGTGCAACGTAGAATTGAGATTTGAGGTTAGCCGGAATCTGGATTCGCTATTCGCTCATCGCTTAAGCGGCTTAATTGTACGAAAAAAGCACGCGATTGCGGCTAGAAACATGTACGAATTATCTATCTCACCGTCTGGCTTACTCCGTTGACACGACTGGACGCAAAGATCAATGTCGGTAGAATAAAAAAATATTAGGTCACTGAGTACGAAGTGTCCGATTTCGAATCAAAAGTTTGGTTTATTATATCTCAAAGCAGAAATAGTAAAATTAATCAAAGTATGCGCCTAAAGTATAGACACAGTTCTGCCATCTTAACGGTAACTTATTCATGCCAGCAGCGAAGAAGCCTGAAGAGCGGGAGACGTTTTCCACAGCTTGTTGAGAATGGAATATTTTTCCTTGCAAGAAATGGTCCAGTGCCTGGAAGAAGTGGTCAATTGGTCAATTTGGTGGCAAGGTCTGGTGAATATGATGGGTGACGGAGAGTCTTCAAGTCCAGCTGCTGTAGTTTGAGCAACGTCGTTTGTGCGACATGTGGTCGAGCGTTGTCTCGCAAGAGGATTGGAGGATTGTCTCTATTGACCAATCTCGGCTGCTTAATCGCAAGCATCCTCATCATTTCGTCCAGTTGGTTACAGTAGACATCCGCTGTAATCGAACGACCAGGTTTCATGAAGCTGTAGTGGACAATACCAGCGCTGGACCACCAAACAGACGCCATTAGTTTTCTTTTGTGAATATTCGGTTTCGGACTGTGTTTCGGCACTTCATCCATATCCAACCATTGTGCCGAACGCTTACAATTGTCGAAAAGAATCCATTTTTCATCACACGTAATAATACGATGTAAAAATGGTTCGTCTTTATGTCGTGATAGTAAAGGAAGGCAAGCTTCGACGTGATTTCTCTTCTGATGCTCGTTTAATTCATGCGGAACCCATCTATCCAGCTTCTTTACCTTGCCGATTTGTTTCAAGTGATCCAATATCGTTGGAACAAAAGCTTTAAACCTTGCATCATTATCCACCTTGGTCTCGGGTCGCTCACGTGGCTCATTTTCAAGATTAAAATCGCCAGAACGAAACTTCTCAAACCATCGACGTACTGTGCGTTCATTAGCCACATCTTCACCAAACGCTTCGTTGATATTTCGAGTTGTCTGCGCTGTATTGGTTCCACGACGGAATTCATATTCGAAAATAACACGAATTTCTAACTTATCCAT